TGTGTGTGTGTGTGTGTGTGTGTGTTTGTGTGTGTGTGTGTGTGCGTGTGTTTGTGTGGGTGTGTGTGTTTATCCGTTTATGTTTTAAAGTTTGCTCCCCAGTCCTCCAAGTGTCACGTGATCCAGTGACGTGAGAATGGACACCGTGTCAATGTGGAGGCTATAAGTGTAATGGAAGGTGAAGCGGTAGTCAATAGTCACTTAGTACAGTACAGGGTGCGTGGCGTCCCTTTTCTGTGAATTTTGGTCACATTTCTATGTCATTTTCTGACATTTTTATTACCTTTTGGGGAGGTTTTAGTGGCATATTTGGGTTATTTTTGTGACAATTTTGTCACATGTGTGGAACATTTTTTGGGACATATTTGAGACATTTTTGTAACAAGGTTGTGACATATTTGTGACATTTTTGTGATATGTTTGTGATATGCTGGAATTGTTTTAGCGCAACTGGTATCACTGCCGTGGTAGAGGTGTGAACACTGTATATATGATGCATTGTGATAAAACTGTCGTTATAGTTGTAATAAAATCATCAATATTTGATATAATCCATTCAAGTTTCTTTCCTTTTATTGAAGTATATTAGTTCTATGTTCTACTCTGCGCGTTTTAACAATAATTAGTTCTTTGTCCTTCCTGTAGAATTTGCATTTCTGCATGTAGCCGGTTTGTGAATAACACCGACGATATGTCATGACCTTATACAGTTGCAAGTGATAAAAACATTTAACCAGCTTACATTCCTCGATCATCAATGTCCGCAGAAAGAGAAGAATTAATAACCAATTAACCCCCCCCCCCAAAAAAAAAAACAACAACTCCCCGGCGGGGAATCGAACCCCGGTCTCCCGCGTGACAGGCGGGGATACTTACCATTATACTACCGAGGACACACTTATGCTGGTATTCCCAGATTTTGTGTGTTCCAAGATTATATTCCTCAGGTGCGTTCTAGTTCTACAGTAAGAACGTTTCTGTTTGTTTTAGTAGAGGTTTTAGGGCGCTCCCAACTTTTCCACAGTTGACGCAAGTTGTCATTCTAATTCTTTGATCCAGCTTGCACACGGCCCCTCAGAGATTTTTCGACCTTGTCCGAGAAGGCTAGGTGTAGATCTTTCCTTCCAGAAGATCAGGGGTGTGGCTGAAAGATAGCAGTAAGAAGATTCCAAGGAGTAGCAGTAGAAAGGCTGTAGAAAGAATCAGGAACCCAGAGGAGGGGAGCAAAGGAGATGAGGGAGTGGGGGCAGAAAGAGGAGACGAAAGCAGACGACATTGCTAGAGAGCAGGAAAGGAAGAGAAAGGAGACACGTTTAGAGAAGAAATTTTTTCGGTCACTACCCGGATTCGAACCCGGGACCTTTGAATGAGAGGCCAGCACCGTAACCCCTTAGCCACAAGAGCCCCCATTGTCATTCTAATCCTTCGATCCTTCTAATAAAATGTTTTGTGAGCTGAGTTAATGTATGTTGTATACATGCATCTGATAATTTAAATTAATTGTCCTGTTGGATCAATCTTGACACACTTTTCTTTTAGACAAGTTTTTGACATAAATAGATCATATTATACATGTAATATGGAGTAAGGGAACTGAACACTCCCTGGTCTGTCGTTATGCTTACTGCAATAGGTCAAGGAAGGTTTTCTATGATTAATTAATATATTTTGAGAAGTCTTTCGGGGGAGATACGTCAGCTTACTTAATTAACCCTCGCCAAATCTTTACAGAACGATTCAGTAGCTGCTATGTTCCAATTCTATATAATATTATTTAACAATTCCAGTACTATCCGGTACAATAAAATAAAGTGAGCTCAACATTGAATGGCAATCCAAAAAAAAAAAAAAGAAATCCCCCCAAAAAACCTCCCCGGCGGGGAATCGAACCCCGGTCTCCCGCGTGACAGGCGGGGATACTTACCACTATACTACCGAGGACACGCTTGTAGTCTCCCCAGATTTAGTGTCTTCAAGTAGGTGACTTTGCTGCTCGGATGTAATGTTTCACAATAATTTAATCTAACTTTTAAATCATTTTAAAAAAGAATTTTTAGTAAGAGTTTTACGGCACTTGCAACACAATAAGGTCATATAAGTGCCGGAGATCAGAGGTGTTACAAGAGGGTAACAAACACAAAAAAGGAGGAGGAGTGAGGAGAGATAAAGACGATATTTGTTTTATAGAAGAAAAAAAACCGAGCAAATCACAACAAAGCACCCGCAAACCTCCCACTAATTAAAATTTTCACACATATTTGTACATTTTGTTCTTCCATTCTGCACAGACATTTTTGTTTTCACAAGTTGTGTGTTGATTACGGAGACTTGGAATTGAACCTTTGTCCCCTATAATGTTTCTTATTGGTCACATATGTTGCCCCAATAACGAACTGTACTAATAAGTGATATTTAATATAAACATTGAGGAAATTGCTGACTGAATAGAAATATCATTACACGTAATTTCCTCTTTATTCTAAATTCTAATAAATCTATCGACCAATTTTTATTTCTCGCAGTCTGTCTTTCAAACCATTTTCCTCTATCAGTCTCTGCTTCTCTATCCTCATCTTTCTTCTCTCGGTTTTAGTTTCCCCCCTTCTCAATATCAAAACAAAGCAGAGGGAGGGGCGG